CAACCGCGAAACTTGTTTAGCAACATTGGCCAATTTGCATGTGTCGCACTCGCTGGCAAGACTTTAAACACGGCTCTTGGATATCTGGCAGTTGCCAGTCGATGCTGAAGCTGAAGCTGAAGTTGAAGTCGCAGTCGATGGGGATACCCCCATCCAGATATTAGATATCCCCAATGCGATAAACGTCTCGACTCTCCACTTTATTGATTTAAATGCCGCGCATCTTCTGTGATTCGAGGATCGCACAGCAAGTCGCCGATTGAGATTAAGCCGTTTGTCAACTTGTCATAATTGCCGCGACTTCAGACCACGGCGCCGATTCTCTTTGGGGCTTGTTAACAAATTATAAAAAAAAAAAAAACTTTTGTGAGACCCCCACTCTGCAACGCCAACGTTGTTGCCACAACTGACTGCAAACGATGACTCAAGGCGATTCTTTGAAAATTTTTCATAATTTCCCTGCCGCGCGTAGGCAGCAGAAACTTAAACGTAAAACCAAAACGAAAAGACCAAATGGCTATTGCTGGCGGCCATGTCTGTGGCACAGCAGCAACTTGCAACCAGAAACTTGCAGCAGCAACATCATCAAGTGCAAATATGCAAATCTCTGCCGACGACTTGGCTTAAGGATAAATGACAAAGACAAAGACAAACCCAAACCTCTTTTTGGGGCCAAGCCGGAAATTTCAGATTTGTGTAATTAAATACGTATTAGCCGAGCGAAACTTGTTGATCTTCCCAGTTAACTCATTTTGCCTAACTGTAAATGCGTTTTCCGGCAGATTAAGGATGGTATTTTGGTGTATGGGAAATACATAGTTGCACTAATTTATAAGCTATTTTATAATTTAAGGAAAATAATTTAACTTAAAGTCAAACTTTTATATATCTAATATTTTACTATAAAAGTTAACTATCGTTAGTCGAATTCTTCGAGGAGTGAAATCAAATGCTTTCCAAAAATGTAAAAACCTTTGTTTTTATCTGAATTCATGCTAAATAATTTTTTAAATTTATATAGTTGGTGCCTTTTTCAAATGACTTCATAAGATAAGTATTTATTATGAGAAGTTTTAAGTATTTTTACCTTATCTTAAGTGTATTTCAATAAATAATTTCCAATATTTGAATCAAAGTTAAGTCGCCATTCAGCCACTTTTGCTTACTGCTTTTCCCATAACTTGTGCATCAAATTTCCATGTTGATTGACCTCTCGAGAATTGCATATCCTCCTCGGGTTACACGCCTCCTTCAGCTCCTTTCTCGCCTTTCTCTTGACGATTCTCCATCTCCGCCTCCTTCACACATAGCATTTCCAATGCAATTTGCGAACCTTTTTCTCACCAAGCTCAGATTTGCTCCAAGCTAACACAGCCAACCAAGCAACCAACCAACCACCACGAACGAATATAAACGGGCAGTGAAAAAAAAGGCTTTTCGGAAAATGCAGTAACGCCTTCTCAAAAAAAAACGAAATAACCATTTTCCAGGCTGCATTGCATTGCATGCAAAAATGTGGCCAGCAGGCAACAACAGTAACAACAGTAACAACGGCTTTAAAACGCCAACTGGCATAACTGCAACATTTCGGATGCAAGTTTGCATTTTACGCGGCTGCCAGGCTTAATTTTCCTTTATTTTTAATATCACAGCCAAAGCAACGGCCACAAAATGTACATAAAACCCACGGCTATATCAAGTACGTCCAGCCAGCAACAACTACATAGATACAGATACACAGATATACAGATACACAGATACAGATACAATACTGAAGCGATGTGGACTGGCTGTCAAGCTGGGTCCCCCAGATCTCCAGGAAGCAAGAAATAACAAAAATCTTTGCGTAGGCAAAACTTGGCTCCAACTACCCAGCTGACCATGTCCAAGTAGTCGCCTTCTTCAGCCAGACTTTGCCATTACTCGCTTCTGGCCGCAGCCTGTAAGACTGTTGTTTTAAATAATTAATTATTGTTTAGTTGGCAAATAGCCGACTCGAGATCGAATGACTCTGGGTAGAACAACTACAGCCATGGGTAGTTGCAATTAGTAGTAAAATGCTTCATCCCCGGGGAATGGGTATACATTTTCAGGAGCGGCCTTTTTAGAAGGAATTAGGTGCTTCTAAGATGTTTAACGTTAATAGATCACTGCATGAATGCAATAAAACACACTTTAATTTTAGAAATCGCTGCTTTTTGAAATGAACTTTTGATGTGCATTTGTAGTTGCAGATTAATAGAAATAATAAAAAAAAAAAATTTTAAACGGAGCCTTTTAAAAGAAAGTAGTACTTATAAATTTACTTAATGTAAAAAACAACATTTACCCAAAATAGTTCTTTGTATGAAGGCATAGAAATATATACTTTTATAAATATATAACACAAACTATTTCCAGGAAATTTGCATGCTATGTTTTGTTTATAAAAATAATAATTACTAGGACATTTGTATGAATGGCTTACTTATTTAAAATTTGTTTTACAACTATATAATAATATTTAAAGCGCTTGATTGTATTTAACAAAAGATACAACTAAAAAGGCAATGACTCCTCACAGAAAAGTAATTTATTCTTGTAACAAGATTATTTTTCTTTAATTTATAATTTTATTTAATGTCAATAATGAAAATATTGACAACCCAATGTCTTTATTCTGCTCTTAGTAGGTACTCTCAAAAATCACCCAAAAATACATCTTTATACTTGGCAACCTTTCGCCAGTCGACTAGCAACACCTCCACCCACATCCGAATCCAAAAGCCGACTTTCAATCACATTCCTGCCCCAAACTGTGTGCCAAACATATCGGGGCAAGCTATAGCTATAGCTAGGTACTATATAGCCCCTTCATTATGTAGCCTGCAGTCTTGTTGTTGCAAATGGGAGATCTCGTTGAGTGGCGTTGGCGATTGGTAGGGCAATCATGTGATTGAGCAAATAACATGCTACGGAGCTGCCACAGCACTTGACTCCATTTCCATCGCCAGGGAATGGAAAGTAAAGTAAGACCGCTACTTAGCCCAATTTTCGCATAATGCACATGAGAAAATTGCACAAGAGCCGAAAGGCACACAAAATGCCAACAGAAATTTGCCAAGACAAAGGATGGATATATAGACAGACTGCCACCCCCGAAGTCACGAAAAAAGTGCACCGAATCCAGTTAGCTGGAAAAACGCTCCCCAGAGTGGCATTATATGGAATATGGAAGGTTAGCAGCTAGACTTTTGTCAACCCTGAAACTTTGTGTCAAAGGGCGATAATTTTTATGACCCCTGCAGATTCTCAAGCCGACTGCGATTGACCCACCACCCAAAAAGCTGCCACCTCGCTGGTCACACACCACACACCATACACCATACACCACACACCACCAGCAGAATACAGTGTAAAGTAAGGAGAGGACTCAGAAATCCTGTCGTGTGCCAGTGCAGATAATTTTATACAATTTATTATATCAAACGAGCGACGTCGCGTGCAACACTTGCCACGTCACTCGGGATGGGAAGATACAGATACTATATAGTACTATACTGCCACACCGTACAGCCTCAGGTTGCGTGTTTAAGTGCTTAACTGAAATCCGAATTCAAAAATCCGAATTGCGTGTGTCCACGGCCGATATCGTTGGTTTGGCATTAAAAAGCGTTTAATAAGCATTAGATTACAACATTCTCAGTCCTCATCCGTGGCTAAAAATAAAGGGGTGTGACGGCCTAAGCCTAAGCCCATTTAGATATATGTTTTATCGCCGGATTTGTCGAGCCATGAAATCGCCAAAGGAATTACTTAACCCCCCAGTCAACTTTAAAAGCCTTTTGCTCCCAAACTCCAAACCACAAAAGCCACAAACTCGATTCTTTGTTTGATTTTCTTGTAATCAGTTGTACGATTACTGTGGCTTCGGGAAAACTATACGCGGTTGATTAGTCTTTTTCGGTTGTGGAAGCGAACTGCCAACTCATTAGTCATTTATCTAAAGTTCGGCTTTTGGTGAGTGATCTTTCCCGTGATCCTCCCTTAGGGGTTTCACATTTTTTGTTTCGAACTGCCCTACCCTCATCCATATTTTTTTTTTCTGACATGCATTTTGATGCGTAATACGATCTGTGTATTCTTTGAAAATTGTATTTAGTTTTCCCAAATGTGATCCCTAAGTGGGTTCATTGGGTTAACATTTTTGGGTTTTTGTTAATGTGGTGATAAAGAAAGCTGATTTGGGTTAGTTAGATTAGGGCAAAAGAAATGTGGTTTAGAATGGGTAGACTCTAATAATTTATAAAAGAAATACTAGTTATTATTAAGAATAGAAACAAAAATAGGTAAATAATTTAAGAAAAGGAAAATCTGTACAATTTCATCTTTAGGAAAATCCTCAAATAAAACTAAATTTAGAGAAGTTATACTACCCAATAAAAAATCTTTTTAGTATTATAATTTAAACAAAATCTCCAAATCTGAAGTCTTGAAACAAACTCATTCAAAACGATCCCAACGAACTTCTTAGGCATCTTTAACCTGCCAATATCTTCTGTGATGCCTTGGTATTATGTTAACGATATCCAATCCCAAACATTCAGCCATATCTACCCAAAAAAAATAAAGCCCACAATGTGCATCTCTAATGAGAATTTGAGAGAGAGGCATGAATAATGGGTCTACGATGTCGCGTTGTCTATAAAGCGGCCTTAAAATCCATTAGCGAACGTTGCAGGCATAAATAAACCGCAGTGCCTTAATTTCACTTTGTTGTTTGTGTGTTGCAGCCGAAAATAGCCAAAAAGATGGAGTCGACGAGAAAAAAAAAACGTAAATGGAAACAAATGACGCTAATAAATAAATGCGGAGTGGAAAACTCATGTGCAGGCCACAAAGGATTTTGCTTGGGCCTAAGGAGGAAACAGTTTGTCATATTGCCCTTCAAATTGTGTCTTCTATGTGCAACTGCAACTGCAACTGCAACTCCGAATGTATCTGCATCTGTTGACACTTACCCTTGAGCGCTCCAACTTGTGTTAATCCATTTAATCCCGTGAGGAGCAGCAGCAGTGGGAAAATCAGCCGTCGACTGCGATCGACTTTGATTATTTTTAGCCGGTCCCCAACAGCAGCAGCATTTCGATTGTTTCTGTGCCGGCGTTTGATCTCGCTGACTCTGGTATTTTTATTTTGATTTTTATTTTCATTTTCCTTTTCCTTTTTATTTTTACATTTACTTTGAATTTTAATTTGGATTTCGCTTTCGTTAGCTAAACGCTGGGGCTGCACACGCACCTCGCACAAATGCATTTTGTCAAGTATTCTTCTCTTTTGTTGCTTCCTTTAATTGCGCACCATTTAAAATAGATTTGCACTCATTTCCCGTTATTCTTTTGGCACACACACAATATTCGTCCGATTTTAATCACTAGAATGTGAGTCCATGGCGCCACAAAGTCCGTTAGCCGGAACGATTCGCGGAAGCCGACGGATCGAACGGATATAGCTACTCCCCCAAACGCATGCGAACCGCTTGAAACTCGAAATTCGACTAAACGGCAGGAAATTTCTTCCAACAAACTGGGTAGTTTGGATCTGGTTTCGGTTAACATGAGCCGAGTGGAATCACGAGTGGATTTTGTATGGCTGTTAACAGTGCGCTCGAAGAGTGAGTGCGTTTTGTATGGCCGCTAACAGTGAGCATGAATTATGTGTGGATTTTGTAGGGCAGTTAACAGTGCTATTTAACAGTGAATGCGTTTTGTGTGGCGATTAACAGTGTGCTAGAACAGTTTGCATGAAAGTTAACAGAAAAATGGAGTGTAAACATAACATTCGAGTGTATTTCATTCGTTTCACATTTCATTTCGCATTCGTTGGTGTTCGGCCATCAACTTCGGGTTTTACTTCGTTTATCACTTCGTGAGTTCCAGTTGTACCGCTTGTTGCATGCTGTGGAACGCATTGGACCTTTGTTTACTTGGTGGACTGCAGACTCGGTTTGTTTTGTTTCGTTTGCAAATGTTCCACGTGCCCTAGGTTCACCAAGTCGGGCAACATTTTGGATTCGATCCAAGTGATGATGCATCACGATGTTGATAAGACAGAGTCAAGAGATCTGTTTGCGAATTATTGTTTTCCAAGACTATAGTTGTACTTTCTGGAGGGTAAATTGGCGATTCAGAACATATTATTCCAAATATAGACAATCTTAACAATTCAGATCAATTTGGATATTTTTTCTAAAACATTTTATATGTATTTATTTGCTGTATTTAATAGGAGAACTCGAGCGATAAAAACTAAATAAAAAATTTCAGGTTGTATCGTTAGGCTTTACTTGAAGTTTTTTGCAAGACACTCAACGAAGGGGAACGTCTTATAAATATTTAAGCATATAAAATTATAACAAAAAAACTGTTTGCTTGTTTGGCATGTCATATTTGATCTGGTGATAAGAAAAGACAAAAATGTGTTTTCATTGATGGTATTTGCGAAAGGAAATGACTAAATTAAAAAAATATTTGCATTGCCATATAGATAAGGCATATGGTGTTTATAAATAAAATGATTTAATGGTGGGACTTTAGACTAATGTAGCTTAATAATAAAAAAAAAAGTCTCTCGAGGTATCGACATAATAGCGTTATTTCCTTTGATAAGTAAATAAAAAGAGGGCCATAAAAATTCTGTTTTGTGTGAAAATGCAACAAATCGACATTCAAATGGACTTTAACACGAGGCCACATCAATTTCTCAGCTCGAAATGTTTATCCACAAACTCTTTTTCAATCTTTTTCGACCATTTAAACTCTTTTTGAGGTTGTCAAGCCAACAAATTGCCAACCTTTGTGCTGCTGCTGAGCTTGGATAGTTTCCATTCGAAATCCGAAAACATTTCGAGCTTGGATAATCCCTACTTGTTGCATTTGATTGCCCCCTTGGCTCCATTGTTCCCCCCGCTTAACCCCTTGTGGTCCCGGTCCCCTTAACCCTCCGGTGCCGGCGACAGTCGAGAAGCGCCTCAAAGGGGCGACCATTTGCTATCTAATCTGCTCGAGTGCCGCACTCACTCTCCAGCTGTTAGCTCATCTATTTCCAAACTGCAATAAAGCCAGAACAGACCAAACCAGACACACAAATTCTAGACGATCCGTTGCACAATGCGATGAATAGAAATCAAAGTGGGAGATGGAGACCCCGTTCTTGGACACTTCTCCATATCGAGCGCGACTATATCACAGAATTCACCGACGCGCTAATGAATTTCGAAATCAATTGAATGGCCAGCCAGCCCAGACGATATTGTATTAATTTATCAAAGTGCATATCCGAAAGGGCTTTCCTCTATAAATCGCTGCCTAATTTCCCAACGTTTGTTAAATAATCAATAACTTTTCTCTCCGCCCAGGTAGAGTGTGAAGTCGGTTCATTAATGCCGGTGCTCAGAAAAGATACAGATACAACGGCCCAGGAAAGAAGTGTAAAATAAAGGTGTGTTTCTTCGTCCATAAAGGAATAGGCATAGAAGTAGGAATTGGAATCGGAATTGTGCGTGCATTTAGGAGCGGGCAGGTGTGGATTCCCCATCTCAGAATGCATCACAATGTGCATTGTCTTTGCCAGAAAGAAAGGTCAAAGTGCGTTTGCCTTCTCAAGTCTCCCGATACCCGATTCTCCCGGTTCTCCTTCTCGATTCTTACCTTTTATGGAGGAGAAGAATGCAGGTAGAGGCAATGAGGGAATTTGTGGCAGGTAAACCATATTTCAAATGCTGATAATTGGCCAATTTACAGCCAGGGCGAGTTGCTCTGCTTGAAAGGCGAGATATCCGAGAGCCCGGTTGCCACGCTTCATTAGCACTCAACTGAAGTTCGGCAACAGTGCAGGGATCATGTGTCGTATATAGAAATACAAAGTACAACATAAAATGGAAAAAGAAATAAATGTGTTTGAGAAATGGAAACATTTTGGCTTAAGCTAGTACACACTTGCCTTTTCTGGCATTTATTTAAACAATTTATAATAGTGAATATTATTTCGAGCTTCACCAGTAGAACATATATACTTACTGGGCTGATGTTATTATTGTACTATCTTAATATACCTTCATTAATATAATTTCGGAAAACGTAATTTAAAGGGTCCTTATTTTATTGAAATAAAAAAAATTCAGAACATTGTTTTATTTAGAAAATAAGATAATTTCTTCAAACTACACCTCAATACCCAAAATATTTTCAGCGTAAGTTGGCCCGATTAAACCAGCTATAACCCATGACCTCAGCTAACTACCTTCCCAAGAAGTTTGGCAACATGGCATTGCATTGGCAGTTATCTAGGCTGAAATGTTGACATTGCCTTTGTCATGTTTGGACCTATCTCCCTCTCATTCCCTCCAGATCTACCCCTCTCTTTCACTCACAATCTACTGACTGACTGTTTGTCTGTCATGTCGGTTGCTTTAAGCCATGTTAATGACATGTAAGTTGCGTCTCAATTGCGGATTTGCGAGCTTCCCAAAACGAAATGGAATGACATTTTGATTGTCAAGCCAAAGCCGAAAAAGATGAGAGGAAAAAGCAGGGAATCACGAAACTTATAAATGCACTTTAATGTACGTGTTTAACTTTATTGGAAGGATGCGGCTGCCTTCTTTGTTTCTTTCTTTGGGACATTTGTGCGCTCAAAAGTAAACAAATTACGTATACGTGCACACTCAAGATAATTGAAATTAGCGACTGTGACAGCATGATTACCTTCCCCAACATCTCCAGAGGGAACCGCCCAGGCCACAAATCTCATGGACAAACACACACACACACACACACACACACACGTGAGGTGAGAGGGCGAGATACAGATACACGGATATGCGGATACGCGGCCAAAGATACAGATACACACGCATCTTGTATCCAAAGACTTCAAAACGCCCACTCGCCGAGTGCCAAACCCCTATTGAGTGGGTTTTTTGGACAGGCCACGAGTGTGGATGCTTCTGCCTTCCCGATTGCCATCCTCTACACTGGGAAAAATGTGCCAAAATTAGGGAAACTGGTTAAATTGGCTGGCCATTTCTAGCAGCGCAAAACCCAATAAAAACAATAACTAAAAACAAAAATGTGCTGGTATATATAATGATAATATTAAATAATTTAGAATAGAGCAGTTTATGTTAAATAAGAGTATAAAAACATTATGATATCATTAAACAAATATATGATATTCCGGCATTTGTTTGATTATATTGTGTTTATTTTATATATATATTTTGTATTTATTTTTTTTTGTTATTGTGTATCAATATGAAACCAACAAAACCCAACCCAGAACGCATTGAGATTGTGTCTGAGGTTTTTGTACAATTGCTGGATATATGATAATGAGCAGGAAATGAGTTGAGTGTGAAATTTATGGGCAGGAGTGCTGCTTCTATGATTTCCACAATGACTTATGGTTGTAATTAAAAAAATTTCCTCCATTTATTTATGTATATAAAATATTACGCCTTTCAAAGGTGTCGGGTTGAAAGCGTAAGTCCATCCCTTTCACACATCATCTATCACACTCACACCACACACATCGCACACACCACACACTCTAATCGCGTCGATCCTAAAAATATGCACAGATGGCACTCAAAATGAAAAAGCCACAGCTCTGCCATAAAATTGTAATCCCATTAGCATAAACTAAATACAACAAATGAAATTAAAAGTCAATAAAAGTTTAACTAACTCGAACAATAAAAATCAATGACTACTTTCCTCCTATGCTCATAAAATGAATCAACTAACAAAAAACAAAAATATTTCAAATGACAACAATTGAATGCGTTATAAGGATATAGCCAGCATAATTGCACACAAATAGCCATTGTTTTTGTTTTTAATTGCAAAACTAAACAAGCGAATTCGTTGAAGCGTAATAATGATTATTTTTGGACTTTGGAATTTACCAAAAAGTTACTAAAAGAAAGCTAAAAATAATATAGGGTTAAGTTCCCCTTACTTAAAATGCCAAAAATATGTTTTTTAAATTTTTTTTAAATATAAATACAAAAAAAAATGAAGCATAAAGTTAAGCATTTACTTCAAAAAAAATTAAGATATAAATAGATTTAAATGCGAAACAATCGCACTTAGTTATATAAAATGCAAGTTCCCTTTCTGTAAATAAATACAAAAAAATGTTTATTTTTGTACAAAAATAATATTGTTTTAAAGCTCATTTAAAACTTCTCACTGCCAACTTAACGACCTCATCTACCCTCTACTACGCGTAATTAGAGCACATTTATTTGCAAATGTTTTGTAAAATTTGCATGTGCTTTAATATTCATTTGGATTTCCAATTGGAAATGCACGCGATGATAACTGCTTATTAACATTTTGTTGCTTTTTATGGCTTTTAATTAATATTTTCAGTAGTTTGCCGCCGAAAAAGACCACCAAGCGAGACGGCAATAGGGGACAGACAGAGATAGCGATAGCGATGGCGATAACTCTTCATGCATTCAGTCGTGCATTCAAGCTTTTTGTTTG